AGGTACCACTGTACAAATCTTTCCTGCTGGAGCAAGAAACAGAACTTTGCTTTTGCAGACTTCTTGGGTGTCTCTCTTCTTTGCTAGTGAGTAAAGGATTTGTCTGTGTGAGGGACCTTAGGTAGGGTTTTCCCACATCGCCAGGGAACTGTGATAATTGTCGTTCTATGAAGGAAATAGGGCGGGTTAAGCACGTTTAACAAACTACAGTTCCCATGATTCCATGGGGGAAGCCATGCTTGTTTATGGCGGTACAGTGGTACCTCAGGTTAAGTACTTAATTCGTTCCGAAGGTCCGTTCTTAACCTGAAACTGTTCTTAACCTGAAGCACCACTTTAGCTAATGGGGCCTCCTGCTGCCGTTGCACCACCGGAGCACAATTTCTGTTCTCATCCTGAAGCAAAGTTCTTAACCTGAAGCACTATTTCTGGGTTAGCGGAGTCTGTAACCTGAAGCGTATGTAACCCGAGGTACCACTGCTTTAAATGTGTCACATGGATGTGTCCTGAATTAAGTCATTTCTACAGCATCAAACACAGCTTCAAAAGCCTTTGATTCCCACAATGAAATAGGGGGGAATAGCTCCAAGAAAAGAGAGAGAGAGAGAGAGAGAGAGAGAGAGAGAGAGAGAGGAACAACAAAACACAGGCATAGAAAAGTCGTAGTATTTTTCTCACCTGCCCCTGCCCAATTTCTCCTGTTCAAGTACCTCTGTCCTGGCCCATAAATATGAAAATAATCTACTATCCAGCCATCCCTTGAGGTACCTCCACGGGTCTGTAACACACAAATGCAATTAAAAAAAATATTACTAATGCTGCTTAGCATTTTAGTACCAGCAACGTGCTAGGGGCTGTACAGAACTCATTTTTTAAAAATTTCCTTCTAGTAAAGATATTTTTGGGCGCGATGAAGCGATAAAATTTGCAGGGTGGGGAAGGAGTCCTTTCAACTTTTCACATTGCCCATCATGTTCCTTCCCTTTTCCTAACATAATTGGGGCTGATGTCATAGGGGCATGTGGTGCGTACAGTGAGGTCATAGAGGCAGCTGTGACATCAAGCAGCAAAAGCCGAAACATTCCAAGAAAGGGAAGTCCAAATGTAGAAGATACTGAAGATTTCACACACCCCTCCTGAACACCCATAGGCCATGCTATAGGCTCCTTCTGAACACCTATAGAAGATGCACAGCCTAACTATCTTTTGGAAACATTCCAAGGTCTTTTAAGTAGGACACAATTTATTTTTTTTGCAGTAGGGAGCCGATTCAGGAGGCTGGTGGTGATTTGGTCTTCATTATATTTTCCCCATTTACTTTCAATGTGTTGAATGGATTGGAATCTGGATGGACCCTTAAGAGAGGTTGACAGGGGCGTAATTCTTCTGCCTCCAGAAGCAACCTAGATTTAAAATAATTGAAAAGGCAACAATGGATTTTACTAGCCTAATGAGCAAAACAGTAACCTCTGTATGGCTAAGCACTTCAAATGCTGATCCAGCCTTTTATTAACAACCTCCAAGGCAGGCAAACCCACACACCACTCCAAGAGCAATGGATTCTATTACTACCATATTTTTCGCTCTATAAGACGCACCAGACCACAAGACGCACCTAGTTTTTGGAAGAGGAAAACAAGAAAAAAAATATTCTGAATCTCAGAAGCCAGAACAGCAAGAGGGATCGCTGCGCAGCGAAAGCAGCAATCCCTCTTGCTGTTCTGGCTTCTGGGATAGCTGCGCAGCCTGCATTCGCTCCATAAGACGCACACACATTTCCCCTTACTTTTTAGGAGGGAAAAGGTGAGTCTTATAGAGCAAAACATACGGTATACACTTTCAAAAGATGCACAATGCTTTCCGTTCTCAGGCAAAGCTCTAACATACCAGTAAGAGCTATTACTGAGCTGTGCTGAGCAATTATGTGAATTAAATTGCAGCACATGGCGACTCACCCTAGCACGGCAGAAGCAGATGCAATGCACAGCCAAGGAAATCAATGGCAGCAAACTATTATGGGATGGAGGAGCTGGCCTGGCCGGAAAGCTCCAAGTGGGCAGCTTGCGGACCAGAAACTAAGAGCAAGTTTCTGCGGGAAATTGTCTTGCAGAATCGCAAGTCAGCAGATCCTGCAGTACCTGTGTGAATGTCAGTCGAGCTGGTTTCACTATCCTTTAGATGCACTTACCTGTTCTGTCTTTTTCAGCACAGATTTGACCACTGGGGATGAGAAGTAGCTGGCCGCGTGGATGTCCAGTTGAGCATTATAAGGAGGCAAGGCAGACCACAACCTGGGCAGGAGGTTGGTGTAGCTGCTTGCTATAGTGTCTACAGCCACACCATCGAGGATGAATTCCTTTTGCCTTTGTAGGCATCTCCGTGTGACGCAAGTCATGTTTTGTCTGAGGCAAGAGAAAAAGCCACTGGTCGCTATTCCCAGCTGTACCACTTTCCCTGTCGCCTCCCCAGCAACTTTCACTATTTCCTGACCACACAATCGGTGTCACTGTGATGCTATCAGCATAGACAATTGCCTCCTAACAACCAAGAGGTTGCCAACAGGTTGTTAGGCTCAAGATGACTCATCTCAGGCATGGCATGTCTTGATCCATTGGGGGGGGGATAATGCTTTCCAGTGGAAGGGACCAAGAGGGTCATCTAATCGAACCCTCTGCAATTCAGAAATTCTGCCCCAAGCCTTCCCTCAGTGGGCTCAAACCACCAACCTTTTGGTTAACAGCCAGATGCACTGACCCAATGCACATAAATGTCTTGTTTTAAATCCTTATTTCATGAATGAACCTACCCTCAAAAATGGGCCATGGGAGTTGGAATTTCTCGAATAGAATACGTAATAAAAATCTTTTAACAAAGAAACTAAAGATCTCGAGTAATATTTCTATGCCGTGAAAAAAAATTCTTTTCTGCTTGATTTCTTAGCTGCTTTCTTCAGATGGGAGCCATATGCATCCACAGCAAGGTACATATATATATTCTTAAGGACATCACATACATACTTGGGAGAACTCAAATGTAGACATCACTTTCTGAGCTCAGCAATTCACCCTGTCATATTTGTGCTGGAGTTCAACATGGCGCTCGTGAGCATGATGCCACCAGACATCTCCCTAGGTCCCATCCTTCATACATTTCCCCTAAAATACGTTTTTTTCTTGTGGGTGCTATCTGCTAGTCAAGTCTGTTTGGTGATGTATGCTCATTACCAGTGATGTTTAAATGTATTTTTAATCTCTGTTGGAAGCCACCCAGAGAGGAAGAACTGAAGGGAGACTCTATCAGGCAAGGCCTCCTTCCACCTGCCTTGCTCCACCCTTTAGTTTCTGCTTCTCAATTTGTATTGTGTTCTTTTATGTACTGTGGCTTGCTGTTTTATTGATTATAGTTTAGAAATTTATTGTAACTGTTGAGTGGATTTCTGTTTAATTTTTATATGTTGATATTGTTTTGTACTATCTAATAATTGCTGAATGTTACTTTTTGATGTAGGTTGCTTAAAGTTTTATTATCACATTTTTGTATTGCATTAGATTGTTGTAAATTTTTGTTTCTTCAGCTTGTAAACCGCCTTGAGTATTGTAAGCTAGAAAGACAGTATACAAATAAAAAAGATGATGATGATGAAACCGAGCCAGATGGGCAGGGTACAAATAATAAATTATTAGTATTTATTATTTGGTGGGAGGCTGATCATTGTGCTATTCTTATGAAACTGGTATTTTGTGATGCCCAGCAGTTCTTTAAATTCCTAAATGTGCTCCTTAGTCCGACAGGTTTGGCAATCCCCGACACACAGAAATAAAAGTAGAGAATTCTGATATTCTCCCGTGGCTGTACTGAACAAAATTCTTATTGCGAAGGACCTACTCCCAACAGGGTGTAAGGAGTACATTAAAAAGTATACATGCCACTATATAATCATTACAGGATTATCTAGCGCAGGCTTCCACAAACTCGGCCCTCCAGATGTTTTTGTCCCACAACTCCCATGATCTCTAGCTAGCAGGACCAGTGGTCAGGGATGATGGGAATTGTAGTCTCAAAACATCTGAAGGGCTGAGTTTGAGAAAGCCTGATCTAGAGGTTTGTCGTTATTTTATGGCTTAAAATTATTTTAACTCTTTTATTTTGCCCAGTTAAAATAGGACAGTACAAGCATAGAAAAAAACCTACCCAAGTCTCTATCCCGTACGGATTAAAAGTTAAACTTGAAATACTTTCGGCAACATCTTTGAAACTTCAAAGTTCAAAATATTTTAATTTTACTATCCTTGCTCAGGAACTGATACAGGTATAACTGCATAATTAACATGAATGGTTAGGTTCTCAACATTTTAAATAGTAACTAAATAGTACAGATATTCCAAAAGATCAGAGACAAGATGCAGAAGTGCACTGGGCACAATACAGACTAGTGTAATGCCAAAGGCCAACCAGCATTGACAAATGTACAAGCTGGGAAATCACCGTAGAGTATGCTTATTCAACTGGATCCACGTACCCATAACTGGATCACAGGATGACTTAGAGATGAGCTAACCTTCCTGCACACTTGTTGCTGAAAGCAGACCCCGAGTCTCAGAAGACTGATATTAAGGCTCTAAGGTCTAGGACACAAGCCCAAATCCTAGTGTTTTCTGGCAGACAGATGAATTGCAAGAAAGTTGCATGAAAGCATAATTTCACTGAACTGGGAACACATAGCAGGAAAGTTAAAACAAAATATCCAAGAGGGATTACTCCTGTTACTGGACAAGTGAAAGGCCAACAGTTGAAAAGCTGTTCTTGTGAAGCTTTCAGATATTTATTGCATTTACACCAGGGGACACAAGGCACACATAGGGGCACCCCATTTTATCACACCAACCCTATGAGATTGGGCTGGAAGACTGATTGACCCAAGCTTTTCTGCTTTCTTCAGGAGCCAATAAGCCAACTCACTCAAACACCTTACACAAATTGTTAAATTGCTACAAGTCAACGAGTTTGGTACAACCACTTTTTTTATTGAACTTTTACAAGACAGGTTTATGCAATGCTGCCAGCGTTGGAGGCGATCCTGGGCCACAGATCTGCACATTCCTTGGCTACGGGGCCTGTGATAGCAGAGCCTGGAGGGGGCAAAAATTGTAAAAACCACCATTAAGCACTGGCAAAGGAATTCCTATGAAACGTATTTACTGAATTTGTATTTAATAAATTAGTCTTGGGAAGAAGTCATTAACACGCTGGCATGGCAGCATCAGCTGCAAAGCCAAACCTGAAGCAATCAATTCACAATATAGTTGACTCGCAATTTGCACTCTTTTTACTTGCGCAATTACGGCTGGCCAGCTACAATCACACAAATTAAACGCACGCAAGGGGGAGAGCTTAAAAGCTCTTTCCATGCTGGGTTTTCTCAGTGCAGAAAGAGCTTTTAAGCACTTCCTCCGCCTTGCTTACTAGGCCCTGGGATTTTGGTTTTGCCCAGGCTGTGGGCCTTCCAGAGACAGCTAAGCAAGTCTTGGGGGGGGGGGGGGGGAGGCCCACTGGCTTCAGAAATGTAGGGATGGTCGCATGGGGGCAGTTCTGGGCTTGTTCTGATTATATGCAATTTCAGCTTCATGTGCAACCCCCAGAACGCAACCCCTGCCCCACGCAAGTTGCAAGCTTACTGTGGCTTTTGCAGGGGGGGCGGGGTGGGACTCTCTTTGCTTCCTACTCCCAAGTCAGCAACCATACCTTTCATTTCCCCTTTGTTGTTTACTATGACCCCCGCATTGTCTTCAAAGTACAAAAACACCCCGTCTTTTCTCCTATACGATTTCCGTTGACGAATCACAACTGCCGGATGCACTGCAGAAAGGAAGAGAAATTCAGTACAAGCTGCCGAATAAAGAATATGCAGCACGGGTACACCACAACCCTTGGGCTTAATCTCATAGGTAATACGCACCCTCCTAAACATCAATTTCCTTAGGGTTCTATAGTTGATAGTATATGTGTATGGATTATATAGGCTTAAGCCTACCATTTAATTCAATGAAAACAAGATGTACATAGGTTTCAGTGGATCTAGCCTTGGATCTGAAGCAGAAAATGGACAGGACATCAATGCCCAGCATATTATTTAAACTACAGGACACAATTCACCTTTTCTTGGAGCAAAATGTTTTTTTGAGTGCAGCATACATTTGGCTCTGGGCATAGCATCCAACACTAACGTGAGGATCCACCTGCCCTCTGGGAGACTAACTCTAACACACACACACGCACACACACACACACACACACAAATTGTACATTGCATGACCAGACATTATGCTCCTAGATAGTACTGAAGGATCTACTTAAAAAGGTAAAGGTACCCCTGCCCGTATGGGCCAGTCTTGACAGACTCTAGGGTTGTGCGCCCATCTCACTTAAGAGGCCGGGGGCCAGCGCTGTCTGAAGACACTTCCGGGTCACGTGGCCAGCGTGACAAAGCTGCATCTGGTGAGCCAGCGCAGCACACGGAAATGCCGTTTACCTTCCCGCCAGTAAGCGGTCCCTATTTATCTACTTGCACCCGGGGGTGCTTTCGAACTGCTAGGTTGGCAGGCGCTGGGACCGAGCAACGGGAGCGCACCCCGCTGCGGGGATTCGAACCGCCGACCTTTCAATCGGCAAGTCCTAGGCGCTGAGGCTTTTACCCACAGCGCCACCCGCGTCCCGAAGGATCTACTTAGCTGGAAACAAATCTGCTTAATTGTGAATAACAGCCAATTTATGCGCATCCTGGAAACATACGAATTAGAACATAACTTAGGTCAAATATTGTCCATGATTTTAAAATGTCTGCATTCCATCTCTCATCAACACAATTAAGGTCACAACACTGTTCTCCCTTATGATCAGCTGTTTTCTCACTACCTGTAGTCCCAATGCAATTAACGCAGTAAGGGGGCTTCAAATCCATGAATCCAGCTTCCTCCACCACTCACCTTTCTTCCTGAGTTCTGGTTTGCCTTTCTTGACAGTAGCCATTACCATGTCTCCCACACCAGCAGCTGGCAGCCTATTCAGGCGCCCCTTAATCCCTTTCACAGAGATGATGTATAGATTTTTGGCCCCTGCAAAGGAAACAAAATCATTCTCATTCTGTTCATCCCGGAGCAAAGGTTAAAGAGACTTCCTCTTCAAGTGTATGTGACACAACTGATTGAAGCAAAGCAGCACAAGCTGTCACCTCACCCAAAAGTTGTGCTATTGCTGTACCCTTCTACGACAACTCCCTGGGCCACGGGAAAGCAGACCCAACAAGTGCTTTTCAGAAGGGGAAGCCTGCTGCTTCTGTCCAGTTACATTTTCGATGAGCATTGCTGTTTAGAGTCAGAACTGAATAAGGGCCGCTCCTTTTCACAAATTCAGAATGGAAAGAGATCAAGGCAAAGGAATTCACTTTTACCCCCTCTCCCCAGCTAGGATCAAGAATCCACACATCGCCCTTTGTGGAAGCCATGCCATGATGTGCCACCATTCTGCTTGAACAAAAAGCCAGCAAACATCTACACCAACCTAAGAATAATAGATTCAGGTAGGTAGCTGTCTTGGTCTGATGCAGTCGAAATGTATATAAAAAATTGTCCAGTAGCACCTTAGAGACCAATTAAGTTTGTTCTTGGTACAGTGGTACCTTGGGTTATAGATGCTTCAGGTTACAGACTCCGCTAACCCAGAAATAGTACCTCGGGTTAAGAACTTTGCTTCAGGATGAGAACAAAAATCGTGCTCTGGCGGTGCGGCAGCAGCAGGCGGCCCCATTAGCTAAAGTGGTGCTTCAGGTTAAGAACAGTTTCAGGTTAAGAACGGACCTCCGGAACAAATTAAATACTTAACCCAAGATACCACTGTATAACCTTTCGTGTGCATGCACACTTCTTCAGATAAGAGGAATAGTAAGTTGCATGCTGATCAATGCACCGTAGGGAAGCTTCTTCCAACTGCCTCCACCCCCTTCTGCCCTGATGCTTGCAACCCAAAATTCGAAGGTAAGCTATAGCTTAGGTTGGCTGGCAGCAGCTCCTAAGAATCTCAAGACTGCTGGCTTTCTCATCCCAGCTGGAGATGGCGCAGATTGAACACAGAACCTTTTACAGGCAAATCATAGAAGAACACTTGTACCTTTCCACATTGCACAGCAAAATTCTAAAACAAGCAAAAAATTTTCAGCACATCAGCTTTTCGTGTAATACAGCTTAAAGAAGAACAAGTGGGGTGTACTATATTTTTTTTCTTCCAACTACTACATACCAGTGTTGTCTGCGCAGTTTATGACAGCTCCCACAGGGAGACCAAGGGAGATGCGAAATTTTGCACCAGAGGAACCACCACGTCCTGTTATGGAGACAGGGATGAAAGACATACAGTTAGCCCAAGACCCAGGCAACGTCTACCACTTTTTAAGGTCTGCTCCGCTTCTCCCAAAACAGTAAGGGTTTTCTCCACCCACAAGCCCCTTTTCTACGCAAAACCACTCTTTCATCACCGCTGACATGACCAACTGCTCTCTTGTTCAGCTCCAATAAGCTGTACCGGTCTATTAAGATGAAATAAACGACGAGTTTTAAAGAGTGATGCGCGAAACCTAAGCAGTTTCATGCATGGCTACTTGATATTCAATTTTAATAGATGAAAACTTTCAGCTCTTCAAAACGAAATAAATGAAAGAAAACCTACTACCTACGTCACACCGCCCAGGGAAACCCACCCTGTTCACCAGGTATGGGGGACCGGTGTGCTCCTCCAGATTTTGTGGAATACAATCTCCGTCACTCCTGGCAATTTGCCACACTGGCTGAAGATGATCACTGGAGTCCAATAATGTTCCAAGGGCCACAAGTTTCCATACTTGATCCAGAAACTCTGGGAGGCCCAACTAATATGTATTTTAACATGCAATAAGAAAGATTAAGGCTTACAGTTCCTGGGTGATAAACATGACGGTACTGCATGCCTCTTCTTTCTTTCTTTAATTATATATATTAACAGCACTAAAAATTGACACAGAATTATAGCGCTGGAAAGCATCCTGAGGGTCATAAAGTCCGCCAATGGAGGAATCTTCCGCCCAATTGGCGGTTTGAACCCACAACTGCCTGGTTCCTTACAGAATATAGGCCTTTGGGAGCTTACAATCTGAAATTCCACAGAAGGGAAAATAAAGGAAGGGGACTGGAGGTAGCAGTAAACAGGGGGGAAATTATTTTTTAATAAAAAAACTATCGTTTTAACTACAAGAAGGTGAAATGGCTGCTGAGTGATGCTGTCAACTTTACAACTTATAAAGTTGCTCTGGCAGCTAGGAAGATCAGGGCAAAGAATTTAGATAAAATAGCCATTAATTGTAGATCTGATTTACACGGTTCACACGAGACTCTCCTCTATTTTATCTGTCCTTATAGCGAAGGTTTCTGTTAGATTTGGATGTGGTTTTATTCTATATTAAGCATCTGCTGAGGTTTTGGATGGCTAGCACAATAGAAGCTGGATTTTTAAACGTAGGCTTTAAAAAACAACAACTATACATGCTTAAGATCAGGGAAGTTTTTAATGTGTGACAACTTAGTGTATTTTTGGTCTTTGTGGAAGCCGTCCAGAGTGGCTGGGGAAACCCAGCCAGATGGGCAGGGTACAAATAATAATAAATAATAATAATAAATAATTACTGTATCATCATCATCATAGGAAAATCCAGAGCAGGGCAGAAGACCAGGCGGCCTTATTCTGGGAAGAGGATATAGCACCCCACATACTAAAAGCGCTCTAGAAGTTGCGAATCCTGCCCGAGTCTTCCTCTTAGGCCTAGGGCCAAGTACACGTATTTTGAGTACATGTCTTTCCTCTGCTAACCCACAACCCGTTTTTCTTAATTCTCCTCCAGCAGGGACGTGTATATTTGCTCGCTAACTCTGTACAGCTTCACGGGCGCGGACACGTCTCCGACCCTCTCCTTAACAGCACGTCAGGATGCGGCTCAAGCCCCTGAACGCGTGTTCGCCGAGGGTGCCACGGGGCCCTTAAGCAACACCTCTTTCCCACCCGACCCAACGCCTCCTCTGGATTTCCAGGGTCCCCTTCCCCCGCACCCCACGGTATTCCACGCGGAAATACCCAGCCCCCGCGGCAGCCAAGGTCCCCACGCGCGCAACCCGCCACCAGGCGTCTCCTTATCCCCGCCGAGGCGCCGGGATGGAGGCGGATTCCGCGCCACCCGCAGCCCCGGCTCAGCAAGCTAGGCCTCACCTCGCTTGGACATCTTGAGCGGCCGGCGGAAAAAAATGAAAAGGAAGCGCAAGGCCTGCCGGGAGAGTTAGTAGTTTTTCCTCGGGAGGCGCCCGCGTCACGTGAGGCGGCGCCCCTCTCACGTGACGGAGGAGGCGGAAATCCAGAAGCGCCGGCCGCAGCGCCACCTAGTGGCCCACGCGCTTAACTGCAGTCGCTCTTCCCCTGCAAACCCGATCCTGTTTCTCCGCGTGGTTTACTTGGAAGCAAGCGGACGCACCGCTGACTTCAATGGGCGCTGCTCCCGTGTAACCGAACAGAACCGTGCAGGCTTTAAAAAAAAGGGCTTGAACTGAAATGGAATTTTGTTTTGCTTGCTTGCTTGCTTGCTGGATGGATTGATTGATGGACTGTTTGATTGATTGATTGATTGATTGATGGATGGATGGATGGATGGATTGTAGACCCAGGGCGGTTGTCAGGCTAGATGATCGACCCTATAAATCGACTACTCTTGCGGTTTCATAAATTATAATAAGTGCTGTTAGTCGTTTTGCAAGCCGACGCCACCCGCGAGCATGTGCAGAGTGACTTTCCATCATCGCCGAAAAACTGCGGTTCACCCCCAAATATTCTGGAGCTGCCTAATTCCACCCTGTCCCGAGACTTTGGGACAATATATGAATGAATGAAAGCAACTGATCGTCTCTCTGAGCATCTGGATCATAAAGTGGGAAGTGACCCGGCGCAGGGGTCATCTAGTCCAACCCCCTGCAATGCAGGAATATTTTGCCCGAGGCGGGATTCGAACCCAAGACTCAGAGATTAAGACTCTCCCGCTGTACCCCGTACGGATCGCAACTTGAAAGCAGCTCACTTATATCTGGAACTGGGGACTAAGAACTTCTCAGGAGGAGCCTGCCGTAAACCCTTTGATTTATATTTTATATAAACTGATTTTTTAAATATATAAATCATTTCTATGCCGTTTTCATCCCAACGCATCCCAAGGCGAGAAACAAACAACACTATAATAGTGCATCGCAAGTACAACACTGATCATAAAATATAACCAGCAAATCACCAGTGAAACAATTCACAGCCTATATAAAACGCGGCTAACAAACCAGCAATTGTTAAACATAAATAAAGATTTCACCTTTTTTTAAAGTATCTTAAATTGGAAATCAGTTGCTCCCCAATGAGTCACTAATTGTCTAAGTTTGGGGACCGTAACCGGCTTTGGTTGTAACCGAATTAACGTTCAGCAGCAATTTTTGGGCGTTCGGTGCACCGGTGCTTTGCACGCTCTGGCATTAGAGGGCGTTTCTCAGCTAAATCTCCATTAATCCCTTTTGGAAAGAAAGACGCGATTTTCGAGTTTGGTTTCCTTACGTTGAAGTCCAGCATGTTGCCGGAAGAGGGGGTATAGCTCAGTGGTAGAGCATTTGACTGCAGATCAAGAGGTCCCTGGTTCAAATCCGGGTGCCCCCTGGACGGATTTTTTGCTCTTTTGATTGCCAGTTTAAGAATTTGCAAGCGTAACGTTTAGGAATCGACTCAAAAGCCATGCGAAAAGCTTAGAAAAGCAACGTGTCCATTTGAGCAGGAGGAAGCTTACAAGATCGCAATGCACTAACTGCGCCATATTCTCAAATTTTGTATTCTTGGCTGAATTTACCTGGAATTACGCTCAAGTTCAGCAGCCACAGTCATAAAATAAAATTCCGGCTTCTTCGATCAACTAATTAATCCTTGCTCCCTTTGTTTCCATGCAAGGCTCGTTTTGTCTTAAAGCTGAGTGATGGAAAGAAATCCAACAGGTGAGGCTTTATCACACCTGCTTGTCGTGCAGTCACTAAAAAAATACCACATCCTTGCCCTTTGGATGGGAGCAGAGTATCCATATTGCTTTTATGTATGTATTTATGTATTTATTTATTTTTTACTGAATTTATATCCCATCCTATACCAGGAGGTCTCAGGGCAGTACACAGAAAAGATCAACATAAAAACCACAATATATATAATCAAAATTAAAAAACAACAACCCAATAGCACGCCCCCCTCCAAAAAAAGAGCCACGTTTTAAAAAGCATATTGGATGTCAATCAGATCAACCAAAGGCCTTTTTAAAAAGGAATGTTTTTGACTGGCGCCTGAAGGTGTTTAATGAAGGCGCCAGGCAAACTTCCCTAGGGAGAGCATTCCACAGAAAGTGACCTTAGGACAGCGCTTGAGAATCTTTTTACACCAGCAGGTCTTTGCAGTTGTTTAAGCCGATTAACCAGCCACTTTAATGATTATTTGGATTCTTTTTAAAGGGTGTTTTATTTTTAGCTGTACATTGCCCTGATACTTTATGATATGGGAGTACAGAAATTCTTTGGATTAAAAATAAATAAATTGATGCAATACGGCAGGGGTCCCCAAACTAAGGCCTGCGGGCTGGATAAGGCCTGAGGGACTCGTTTATCCGGCCTGCGGCGACCGCCGCCACCCGCTCTTTTTTTTTAAATAGATTTTTTATTAGATTTTCCACAATAACACAAACCACAAAGCAAAAACTCCTCTTCTTTCTGGTTGCAGATTCTTCCAGTCAGGTCAGCTAGCTCCGAAAAGTCCATCATCTTCATCTGCCAATCTTCCAATCTTCTGGTTTTAACCTTTAAAGCCCTATACGGCCTAGGACCCTCGTACCTACGGGACCGCCTCTCCTGGTATGTCCCACAGAGAAATTTACGGTCTGCAAATAAAAACATCCTAAAGATCCCGGGCCACAGAGAGGTTAGGCTGGCCTCAACTAGAGCCAGGGCCTTCTCGGCCGCGGCTCCAATCTGGTGGAACGCTCTGTCACAAGAGACCAGGGCCCTGCAGGACCTGACATCCTTCCGCAGGGCCTGCAAGACAGAGCTGTTCCACCAGGCCTTTGGTCAGGGCGCAGCCTGACCCCCTCCTCTGGCAATCGGCAATCTGCACAGAATTTTGCTTGATGGTTGCCATTAATTTGATCTTAATTTGATTTAATTAATTTTATAATGAATGTTTTTAGAATGTCGGATTATTTTGATTGTTGTTAGCCGCCCTGAGCCCAGCTTCGGCTGGGGAGGGCGGGATATAAATAAAATTTATTATTATTATTATTATTCCACTGTTGGTAGTTCTTGTGTTTTCCAATTTTTAGCAAGTAACATTCGGGCGGCCGTTGTGGCATACAAAAATAATTGAACATCTTTCTTGGGCAGCGGCGCCCACTCTTACCGGCGCTGCGCTGCACTGCGCAGCTGCCCACTTCGGAGAAGCACCGGAAATAGCTTGTGCACATGCGCAAGCGTTATTTGTGTATGCATTATTTGCGCATGCGTTATTTCCGGTGCACATCTGGGTCGGAGGAGGCCCATGCACATGCACACAAGCTATTTCCAGTGCTCCTCCGACCTGGAAGTGCGCCGGAAATAGTGTGTGCGCACGCATAAGGGCACATGCTCCCTCACCCTCCGCACAATCCGCGCTGGAGACATCAGCCCAAGGCGCGGTAAGTTTGCTGACCCCTGCGTTACGGGTTGTGTGTGCAAGGCTGAAAAAAGCACTTGCCAAAAGGCAGTGGAAAACTGGCATGCTGTGGTCCATGAGATCACAAAGAGTCGGATACGACTAAACAACAACAAACCCAAATTTGCCGTAGCCTTCAAATTTCCACTGCAGCTTCCAGCAGTGTGCTTGGAAGAAGGAGAATGAGATGCATTTAATTTGCATGCAACCGTAAGGGTTTTTTTTAGGTTTTTTTAGCGAGGAAGTTCAGAGGGGGAAATACAGTACAGCAAATGCGTTTACAATTAATTTTCATCAGCAGATGTTATTTAACCGCAGAACTATGAGTTGTGTGACAGTTACAGAATTGTCATCACCCCTCACCATAATTTTGGGAATTTAACATGTACAGACAACATGTGCAGCCTCACAAAGGCCTGATATATGATGATTTTGCTGGGCTTCAGCTTCAGTTACCATAGACATGGATAATGTAAAAAAGAGAGAGTTGTTTCAAGCACTGCTTGAAAACAGATGCAGTTTAAGACCCCATCTTATTTATTTATATTTATTTCATAAAAATTATACACCGCTTGATTGCAAAAAAACAACAACAAACAAACCCTCAAAGTGGTTTACAAAAATGCATGGGATGTTTGAAGTATCATACCACTTTAAACCGTCATGACTTTCCCCATAAAATCCTGGGAACTATGAAGATGATGGACTTTTCGGAGCTAGCCGACCTGACCAGAAGAGTCCGTGACCAGAAGGAGGAGGAGCACTAGGAAGAATGGAAGAACTTCAAAGATTAGTTACCGTATTTTTTGCTCTATAAGACGCACCAGACCACAAGACACACCTAGTTTTTGGAGGAGGAAAACAAGGGAAAAAATATTCTGAATCTCAGAAGCCAGAACAGCAAGAGGGATCGCTGCGCAGTGAAAGCAGCAATCCCTCTTGCTGTTCTGGCCTCTGGGATAGCTGCGCAGCCTGCATTCGCTCCATAAGACGCACACACATTTCCCCTTACTTTTTAGGAGGGAAAAAGTGAGTCTTATAGAGCAAAAAATACGGTACTTAAATATCCTAGATAAATTAATTAGAAATACTTGCAAAAAAAAATTAGTTAGGCTAAGGATTTAAATATGTGAAGTTATAGAATATTATGTTTAAAGCAAAGATGAAAAGAAACAAAGATGTTAAGAGGACTAAGTAAATTTTATGAGATTTTGTTTTGGAAAACCGTTACAATGATATATATTGAAGTTCAGTCAAGGGAATTCGAGGAAGTCACTTAACAATGTTATTAAGATTGGATTAAGTACAGTTATGATGTATGTTTGTTTGTTAGTTTAAAATTTTGGAAAATTAATTAAAAAAAGGGGGGGATCTTGTGAACTGTAGTTTCTTTAAGGGCGCTGAGAGTTGTTAGGAGACTCCCTATTCCCCTTTCACAGCTTCAGTTTTCAGAGAAGAGGAATTGCTTGCTAAACTGTTCCGGAAATTTTAGCTCTGAAAACGGAACAGGTGTCACCTAACTTTCAGAGCCCTTAAGAGACTACGTTTCCCCGGATTCTTTGGGAGACGCGATGACTCTTTAAAGTGGCACGATACTGCTTTAAATGTATGGGGCCGTTAATTCAACACGTTTTCAAGTAAACCACGCTATGTTGTTACATCCAGGTGTCACATCCAGTACAATATAATATTTTGTTTCAGACACAGGTAAGAACAGTCTGGGACAACAGCAATGTTCTGTAGAGAACCATTGGAAACTTTATTGTAATAAAGTAGGTCTTAACAAATCACATGGCATTGTCAACGTCTATAAATGGTGCTGATGTTTGGATAACCATTTTCCTGACTAAGAAGTAGTTCCAAATAGGTATTTATTGTTGGTGTCATTCTTGCATGCAAGCTTTTCACAGCATCTCCGCCCCCCATCGTAAGCACCTAAACGCCAGCCTGTATCTCCCACCTGTATCTCCCACCTTTAATCCACAAAATACCCCGTCATTTAAAAGAAAAAGAAAAGGATGTCAAACACCTATCTGCAATATGACTCCCATGTCTGGAAGCACTCTTAAGTTTAGGTGATGGGAACTCCCATATTTTATTTCAAGACAACAGTTTGAATGAAGAGAAAAAATAGGAGCGCCAAGTCAACAGATGAAAACATTTGCACAGCCCAAGCTAGGAAGGAGTGTGGTTTTGAGAAAAGTTGTGTGAGACAAGCATTCAGCTGAAGGATCGGTTGACTGAGATTCATATCTTCCTTAAAAAGAAGGGATAGTGGATGTTCTTGAAAATTAGCAGTGTTGGTAACAAATATCTCTGAACATGTGTAGAGTTCACTGAGCCATAAGCAGTCCACATGCATCTAGATTTTAGTATTGGTATGGCCCTACCCCTGGGTGAAGACATTTCCACCCCCTCTGTCACAAAAGGGAAGCAGATTGTTAATTATTTTATTTATTACAGTTGTATTTTTGCTGCAAAGGAGAAGGAAAGACAGCTAAATGTATTGGGCTGGTCCTGATGGAGCGATATCTGCATCTGATAGCACGACATGGAATGGGTCTCAGTCTCTTCGCCTCTCCTTTAGACTCAAGCATGAGCAAATTCATTTTTTAAATTCATTTTCAGAGTGGGACATACACGGATTTGATGGGAGAAAGATGATCTGAAGAGCTGCCCTAGATATTTTATTTCCCCCCTCCCCAAATATATATTTTGAAAAGGGCCCTTTTATTTTTGAAGTAGTTGCAAGGCATGGTGGCCAAATGGTTATGCCTAGGGACAGCAGCATTCACCCTAAATATGTTATCAAGAAACTTATGCATAAGTAAAGTATAAACATGTTCCTTTGCACAGGAGGAAAAACCTCTTGCATAAAGCCAATTTAGACTAAGGGGACATCCGACTGGCTGTTTATTGCAAATTCATTCTGATTTGTACACAAAGATCCAGTGGTTATTTCAAGCTAGTGGTTATTTTGCCACATTTTCCAGTGCAATTTCCTATTCCTTCTCTTCTTATCAGACTTTTTTTCAGTACGGAAAGTGGAAGACAATCGCACAGGACTTCAAGTGATGTCATATAACCTCTGCGCAAATTGTAAGTGAACGAATCAAGATTTCTGCATTGCAGGGGGCTGGACTAGATGACTCTATAATTTCAACTCTATAATTCTATGAAGAATGCTCAATAAAAACAACCCCTGTGGAAGTGCCATAAGCTGTATTAGGGAGGAATCTGCTTACATTTTAAATGTTAAAAAACCAACACCACAATTTAAACTTAAACTTCGGTTCTGTGCACCAGAAATGTACTGGAAGAAGAAGAGTGGTACATTCCAGCTCTCTGCAGTCCTCAGTTTGGATTGTAGGAGGCTCAGAGTATATAAATTAAACTTTAGGAACACAGGCCTTAGAATCCAACTACATTTCTACATTCCCAGAAACGGAGGGAGCTTTCAAAGGCAGCTTGTGATAATAAAGGTCTCGGATAATAACGCAAAGCCAGAAATCCTACTAGTCATGCCTTCAAACCCCAGACATACCTAAAGTAGCTCTTTGCAATCCGTATGGTTTGCAGTTTTTGACACAGCACCCCTTTATGTGGCCTTATTTGTACTTAGATGACGTTTTTTCTTCTCGCTGTGGGGAAAAAACAACCACCACCAACAGCATCCCCTGGCATCAAAACCACCTCAGTGTCACCAATTCCACACATGGGAGAGAATTAGAACAAGACAGCAAGGGAGCGGAGATTCAGTCCTGTATCTCTTGGGGTGCTAACCGTACAGCAAAACTACACTACCCGGCGGGCGGCACAAGCTTCGCGTTCACGGCCGCAGCGCTAGGTGAGGGGTAGAGAGGAGGAAACGGCGGGGAGCAGTTCATCCGAGGAGCTCTGGGTTTTGGATTCCTCCCTCAGATCGTCGACTGCTCCTGCAGGAAAGCGTCACCGCTGGGCCCAGAGCGCTCTGGTTCAGAAGCGAGGGCTGCCTCGCGCAACACAGCCATGTGCTCCTCTGCCGCAGACAGCGATTGGTCGATCCAGTCCATGCGGCTGGGAGAGTGGCAGGCATTGCGGGTGATCAAGACCAGGTGGCTGACGGAAAGGAGCAGCGCAGTTGTCCTTCAAAAGGATGGAGACTGGTCAGAATAAGGAGGGAGCTGGACCCATCCAGCCAAATGCCCCCCTTCCCCTGCCCCCGGCACAGAAAAGGAATTACTATTTGTTGTTTGTTCACGGGATTAAAAATAATTCAATATAGCGTGTTATGCGTTAAAAGAAAATTAAAAGAAAAGAAATTTAAAAGAAAATTATATGAAAATGATGTATCGCTGGTATTTAACTCTGAGAAGATTAGCAAAAATGTACAGTGGTACCTCAGGTTGCAGATGCCTCAGCTTACAGACGCTTCAGGTTACAGACTCCGCTAACCCAGAAATAGTACCTCGGGTTAAGAACTTTGCTTCAGGATGAGAACAGAAATTGTGCGGCGGCAGCGCAGCGGCAGCGGGAGGCCCCATTAGCTAAAGTGGTGCTTCAGATTAAGAACAGTTTCAGGTTAAGAACGGACCTCCAGAATGAATTAAGTTCTTAACCCAAGGTACCATTGTACAGGACAAGTTCAAATGTTTGTTGGAAATGTAAGGCAAAGGAAGGCACCTTTTATCATATGTGGTGGAACTGTAAAGTAATAAAGGAATTCTAGGAAGTGATATACAATGAATTGAAAAAAATGTTTAAAATAACTTTTGTTAAAAAACCAGAAGCCTATTTGTTAGGAATCGTAGATGCAGAGATACCGAAGAAACTGAAAAGATTGTTTATGTATGCTACAACAGCTGCAAGGATGCTTCTTGCCCAGAGTTAGAAAGATGGTAAGATATCTACCAGGGTAGACTGGCAGATGAAATTATTGGCAAGAGATGGCAAGATTAACTGGGAAAATCAGAAACCAGTGGATCAAAACTTCAGTAAAGAATAGGACAAAGTTACATTATATTTGAAAGGCCACTGTAAACACTTGAACTCTTTGGCAGGTTTTAAATAACTCTTGCAATGTTGTACAGATTTTGGACACAATGGAGGATTGTCAATTAGATGGACTTATAATATGCCGTTTAAAAAGTTACTTAAAGAACCCACAGAGGGGAGGAGGGAAGTCTTGAGATTGGGAAGAATCTTGTGTAATTTATATTATTTGTGATTGTGAGTGTGAATGAAGTTGTAAAATCAAATTTTAGAAAATTATTTTTTAAAAAAATACAGTATAAATTCCAAAGCGATATATGACGTAACACTGAAACGATCAATTCATAAAACACTATAACACTATCATAATGATAAACACTATAATGGAAAACACTTATCATAATGATAAAACAAAGCAAAAATACAATAAGGCCCATGGGACGAACTTTTGGTATGAATGTGGCTCAAGAATGCAATTAGAGAATAAAAAGGTAAAGGTACCCCTGACCGTTAGGTCCAGTCTTGGACGACTCTGGGGTTGCGGTGCTCATCTCGCTTTGCTGGCCGAGGGAGCGGGCATTTGTCCACAGACAGTTTTTCAGGGTCATGTGGGCAGCATGACTAAGCCACTTCTGACGAACCAGAGCAGCACACGGAAATGCCGTTTACCTTCTCGCCGGAGCGGTACCTATTTATCTACTAGCACTTTGACGTGCTTTCGAACTGCTAGGTGGGCAGGAGCAGGGACCGAGCGACGGGAGCTCACCCTGTTGCGGGGATTCGAACCGCCGACCTTCAGATTGGCAAGCCCTAGGCTCTGTGGTTTAGACCTTTTAGAGAATAGCCTTTACCAAAGGTGTCATGGACTTTGAAGAAGCACAAACCCAGGACACAAGGGAGAAATGAGCTAAGAGGAAGGCACATTTGGCAAATCCTCACCATGATCAACTCCCACCCAAAAACCTATGTCTAGGTCTCCAATATGTCCCGGACATTTTCTGAACATCTTTGGGTTTCGTCCTTCAAAAATGGCACCTAGGCAGAATTTCTGAAAAGCACTCAAAATGTCTGGCATCATTGCAGCCCGTATGGGAAGTGTTGGGGTTTTATTTTTGCACTTTCCCTTAAAAAATAGCTAAAAAACACAAAAAAGCAAAAAAAACCCTAAACACCTCAACAACTTCTGTGTCCAGATTTTCACTTACGATAATCCTACCTATGTCCCCACTGTGGAAGGATGTGTGGATCCAGAATTGGCCTCTACAGTCACTTTCGGACTCACTGTTAAGACTGTTTTCATGGAAGGCAATCTTACTTGGCCACGATTGATCGCCAAAGAGGATGTATGACCATGTTGCACAATTCCTGACAACTCGCCTATCCGAGATTGCCTACTCACCTGGCATCCAGGAGTTTGGGATCCAGTGGTGGGTACATGGATCGGACCACATCATCGACCCTGGGAGAAAAAGAAACCCAATAGCCTATCGGGGAAAAGGAGGCTCTTTCAAGGCCCTTTGTAACACAAGTGGTGTGTATTGGATTAATAAGAGCTACAGGCACATTAAGAAAGAGAGGAGTGTGAGAATAAACAATATGCCCTAGCCCAATACAACTCAGGTTGATGGGGAAGGAGTGGGCTAGAATAAAGGAGAACCTGCAAACTGATGTTACTGCTACTACTATTAATTTTTGTGGGAATGTTCAGGGATGCAGGAGAGGATATATTGTTTGATTATAGCCTTTCCAACTTGTGTTAACAAGTTCACAATTTAGCAGAGTAACATTCCCCTTTTTAAACTCACAGCGGATGCGTTTGCTCAGGCTCGCTAAAGCCTCTATAATAACTGTTCTGGTATTTCCCCCTTATTCCCTCATAAAAGATAATACACAACACAGTCTTCTATAAAAGTATAAAAAGAGTTTGCTCACATTCTGTTCACAGTCGGATCCCAGAAGGCAGACTTAGCTTAGAAAAGTAACATACACCTGGAAACTATCTCATAAAGAGACAGTCCCTTTGTCCTCTCTTGGCTGGAGGCCAAGAGAGCATCTTTGGCTAAGCAGATGTTGCTTCTTTGATGCATGTAGTCAGAGAGAGAGAGAGATGGCTACCCTGCCCTGTGCTTTTGTCGTTACCTGCACAGGTGAGGCCACACCCACCTCTAGTCACATGCAGAGAAAGTCTGTCCCAGCCCAGAAGGAAACAGGAAGTTTACCTGCTGGCTGGACAAACATTCCTCCCCATGTGTAAACATGTTCACTCTAGGAATGTTGTACTTGACTGCTCTTGTGTTTCACATCCCACAATTTTATTATTCATATGCTGTCCCTCTGAGTGGGCTGCCCCAGCCGTTCTTGGGGGCTTCAAGCAAAATATAAACACACCATCAAACATAAAAGCACTTCCGCAGTAGCTGTTCACTGAAATGGCCATAATTTGTTCACACACTTTTCATGCAGCAGCTAACCACAGCGACAACAACAATTTATTTATTTATACCCCGCCCACCTGGCTGGGTTTCCCCAGCCACTCTGGGTGGCTCCCAAAAATGTCAAACTGTGGGTTTCTTATGTTTCATCCCCCATGCTTTTCGCACTGCAGAAAATTGGAATTATATTTTCCCCCAGCCCTGGATGGAAAGCCATTAGCTAGACCAGAGGTGGAGAACCTGTCATTGCATTCCTATTCCCACCTGCCCCAGCCAGCATGGCCAATGGTCAAGGATGAGTAGAGTGGTAGTCAAGGGGTGATTGAGAGTCCTGAATGGGGTAACTGTGCCTCTGAAGGACCAGGTGCGCAGCCTGGGAGTCATTTTGGACTGAGAAGTGTCCATGGAGGCGCAGGTCAATTCTGTGTCCAGGGCAGCTGTTTACCAGCTCCATCTGGTACGCAGGCTGAGACCCTACCTGCCCACAGACTGTCTTGCCAGAGTGGTGCATGCTCTAGTTATCTCCTGCTTGGACTACTGCAATGTGCTCTACGTGGGGCTATCTTTGAAGGTGACCCAGAAACTACAATTAATCCAGAATGCGGCACCTATAATGGTGACTGGGAGTGGCCACCGGGACCATATAACACCGGTCCTTAAAGACCTACATTGGCTCCCAGTACATTTCTGAGCACAATTCAAAGTGTTGGTACTGACCTTTAAAGCCCTAAACGGCCTCGGCCCAGTACACCTGAAGGAGCGTCTCCACCCCCATCGTTCAGCCCAGACACTGAGGTCCAGCTCCAAGGGCCTTCTAGTGGTTCCCTCCCTGCGAGAAGTGAGGTTGCAGGCAACCAGGCAGAGGGCCTTCTTTGCAGGGAGTGAAAGGCGGGATATCAAATCCAAACTCCTCCTCCTCCTCCAGTGGCACCCACCCTGTGGAACGCCATCCCATTAGATGTCAAGGAAATAAACAACTATCTGATTTTTAGAAGACATCTGAAGGCAGCCCTGTTTAGGGACATTTTTAATGTTTGACATTTTGTCATGTTTTTAATATTCTGTTGGGAGCCGCTCAGAGTGGCTGGGGAAACCCAGCCAGATAGGGGTATAAATGCTGAAAATCGCGCCTGCGCAGACGCTGAAAATCGCATCTGCGCAGACGCTGAAAATCGCATCTGCGCAGACGCAATCCGACCCATGGAGCAATCTCCATGGGAGTGAACCGGCCCAGGCAAGGTAAACCTTGCCGACCCTTGCTCTGCACCCTTGTTGTTGTCATGTGACAACACCTAGAGGGATGCAAAGCTTCCCTCAGCCTGCTCTAATGCTTCCCGCCAGTTTGGTATCGCGCCCTGGCAACTCTCACCTGGGGCTGATCCGCTTGGCAACCACAATGATGTCACTGAGGCTTGCCGGAGGCTTCATTTGGGCCCCCGAACCCATCGTCATGGCAACAAGCTTCTCGGTGAGGGTGTGGCAGATCTGTCGAAAGAGGGATGGTGTGAGTCGGTGCTGCCGCACATAGCATCCTCACATTGCAGTCCCCACCCCATCCCCCAAAAAGGGATTTACCTTCAGGATAGCAATGCAATGGGAGACCAGGCCCCTGAAAGGAGGAAGAAAGAGGGGAAAAACACAGCAGTGAGTTAGAGAAGCAATGAGGCATTTTAGCAGATACCACTGAAAGAGTCATCCAAGCTTCTGTAGTCAACGCAGAAAACGGAAAAGTCACAGGACTGATTGCACACGTGATTATTGGTTAGGGAGCTGCATTGCAAAATTGGGAAGACTGCAAATTTTGAAAAATCTCATTGGTTCCCTGCTCCCAATGGCAAGGGGTATTTCTCAAAATTCACCATTCATCTTCCTCCCATCAAGGTCAGATATTCCCCCTCCCATGAAAAATTATAGAGCATTTTCCATGGGAAAAGTCTGGTCTGAGCTCTGAGTTTCACATCCCGGTGCTAAACACTCAGATAGACTGTAATCTCTGGTGTTGTATAAATTAATTACAGTGGCAAACGAATGCCAGTGTACTGGAAGAAGCAAAGATCACCAGTATCAAAGCAATGATTCTTCAACATCAACTTTGCTGGACTGGTCATGTTGTGCGGATGCCTGATGATCGTCTTCCAAAGCAACTACTCTATTCCAAACTTAAAAATGGAAAGCGTAATACTGGTGGTCTATAAAAGAGGTCTAAAGACTCTCTCAAGCCAAATCTTTAAAAATGTAGTGTAAACACTGACCACTGGGAAACACTGGCCTGCGAGCGCTCCAATTGGAGAACAGCCTTTACCAAAGGTGTCACGAACTTTGAAGATGCTCAAACTCAGGATAAAAGGGAGAAGCGTGCTAAGAGGAAGGCATGTTTGGCAAACCCTCACCGTGATCAACTCCCGCCCGGAAACCTATTTTCCCACTGTGGAAAGACGTGTGGATCCAGAATTGGCCTCCACAGTCACTTACGGACTCACTGTTAAGACTGTGTTCATGGGAGACAATTTTGTTCGGCTACAAGTGATCACCAAAGAAGAAGACGTCTGAAGTGGTTCCTAATACCTGTCACAATTCTGGTTGAATAAAAAAAATATCCCCTGTTCCCCATTTTATGCTGCCTGGGGAGGCATCGCTGCAAAACTTACGAAGCATCTTCAATCCAATCTGCGTTCTCCAGGATGGCTTCAATATGTGGGTTTGTTAGAACCACGTCATCCAATTCTAGTTCTGAAGGTTCAGACTGGGTTTCCATGGTGCCACTGAAGTCAACGATGGGCCTGTCGGGAAAGTTCAAAGGTGATCTGGGATTGAGATCAGCATTTTTTTCCCTCTTTCTTTCTTTAAATAATTTTTATTAAATTTTCTGTTTTACAATTTCAAATACTCATTTCACATCCTTAAGATATCAATGACTTCCCTTCGTCTCTTTCCATGGTTCGTTTTACATATCTTAAATCTTAAATATTTTAGAAAAACAATACCAATCGGTTTTCCATTATTGCATCCGTCAAAACTTATTTACACTGCTGAATTTTATCTTAATGCTGCCCGCGTTTTCAGCTGTACACAATTATTTTCCATATATTCAATATTTTTTCCCCATCCCGACACTCAATTTTGAAAGCACAGAGTTCTTCTGCATCACCCGGTGAATTAGAGACGGACGAGGAGGGGAACATCCTCACAGTTTCTTTTTCAAAAATTTGCACGCTCACCTGGTATCATAATGGTTCAAGAAGTCCTTGGGCCGGCAATAACGTTGCCTGCACACCACAACCAGAGCCACGAAAGAAGCCAGGAAGATGGTCGCCAGCACCCCAATGGCCACAATCACAACCGTCTCCATTGCTGGCCCCTTGTACCCTCAGGGAAGAGGACACTTAGGACATAGGACACTTCAGGACACTTCAGAAGCGCTTCCACCTAGAATGAAAGGGAGCAAAAATGAGGGGATGAGCTGGACTGTCTCAAGCGGTATCTACCATCTTCCACCGAGTCCTTGTGATGTGAGATATTTTTTACAAAGCAAGAATCTGTGCTCAGGTTCTCTTGATATGTTAAAGGTAAAGGTAAAGGGACCCCTGACCATTAGGTCCAGTCGTGACCGACTCTGGGGTTGCGGCGCTCATCTCACTTTACTGGCCGAGGGAGCCAGCGTACAGCTTCCGGGTCATGTGGCCAGCATGACTAAGCCGCTTCTGGCAAACCAGAGCAGTGCACGGAAACGCCGTTTACCTTCCCGCCAGAGCGGTACCTATTTATCTACTTGCACTTTGACGTGCTTTCAAACTGCTAGGTTGGCAGGAGCAGGGACCAAGCAACGGGAGCTCACCCCGTTGTGGGGATTTGAACTGCTGACCTTCTGATCGGCAAGTCCTAGGCTCTGCGGTTTAACGCACAGCGCCACCTGCGTCCCTCTTGATATGTTAAGGCATGACTAATCCGTATTCAGTGTTCCTGAGTTTGTGCACCTGCTTAATGCTTGTTAAGTGCCTTGCAAGACCAGGTGAAAATTCCACCGTGTTCAGCATCCTTTTCATGAATCCCTGCAGAACAGGCACTCGGTGGTTCACAAGAAATTGGCCAATTGATGGATTGCAGAAATTGGCGGATTGCAGTCTACTTTCCTCCACTGCATTGTTGCCTAACACCAATTGTTGCTCACTCCAGGTGTTTGTTTGTGTGTGTGTGTGTGTGTGTGTGTGTGTACGCATGGGCAACAGACATGGTTTTGGTCCAGTTTAAATAGAATGGTGTACATGTTCATCACATGCAATGGAACGCCAAAGAAAATACCATTTAATCCCTTGGGAAAAGCAGATATTGGAGCACCACAAATCATTTTCACATGCCTGTGTACGTAAAACAGTAGATCTAGTTGAAAGGCAGCACATGGAGATCTGCATTGATCCTCAGGGAACCCCGATTCTTATTTTTGTAACATTATAAGACAAGGGTTAAGGGTGCCGATCTCACAAAGCTCTCATTCCCAGCACCCTGAACAAACTACAGTTCCCAGGATTCTTTGGGGGAAGCCATGGTAAAAAAAAGGTAAAGATAAAGGACCCCTGGACAGTTAAGTCCAGTCAAAGGCGACTATGGGGTTGTGGCATTCATCTTGCTTTCAGGCCGAGGGAGCTGACGTTTGTCCACAGACAGATTTCTGGGTCATGTGGCCAGCAGGACTAAACCGCTTCTGGCACAATGGGACACCGTGACAGAAACCAGAGCGCACGGAAACACCGTTTACCTTCCCACTGCAGCGGTACCTATTTATCTACTTGCGCTGGTGTGCTTTCGAACTGCTAGGCTGGCAGGACCTGGGACAGAGCAACGGGAGCTCACGCCGTTGCAGGGATTCAAACCGCCGACCTTCTGATCGGCAAGCCCAAGAGGCTCAGTGGTTTAGACCACAGCGCCACCCGCGTCCCGATGGGGAAAGCCATGACAGTTAAAGCAACATGAGAACGCTTTCGATGTACGCTGAGGACCTAAACTGCTGTTCTAGTTGGCTTCTGTACATGGAACAAGCTGGAGCGACCCACGATCTTGTCCTTCATCTCAGGCAGCAAAATTTCTTGGGCGGGCTGTGTGTCTGTTCATTTTTAAAAAAATTACCCCCTTTACAGTGGTACCTCAGGTTAAGTACTTAATTCGATCTGGAGGTCCGTTCTTAACCTGAAACTGTTCTTAACCTGAAGCACCACTTTAGCTAATGGGGCCTCCTGCTGCTGCCGCGCGATTTCTGTTCTCATCCTGAAGCAAAGTTCTTAACCTGAAGCACTATTTCTGGGTTAGTGGAGTCTGTAACGTGAAGCGTATGTAACCTGAAGCGTATGTAACCCGAGGTACCACTGCATTTTTATTTCAATGGCAATTAGGCAGGCACGTTGATGGATTCTGAAACTGTCGGCCGGATTACACAAATCTGCCGAAATTCACCCAACTATTAAAAGGTGCACGGCCCATCCCCCCTCTTTTTCACCTGGCCACCTGTGGGCCGATGCCTTGTGCGAACCCAAACGACAACCCCAAACAATGACGCTAAAGGGCTGATCTGGAAGAGGCGGTTGTGGCCAAAGGCCCCTCCCTTGGCTAATATACGAAATTATGCACCTGGAGCATGCAACTCGAGCCAACCCACCTGGGAAATTCAACGTGTCAACAGCAGGATGGGGCGGAGGGAAGAAGGGTCTCACCTGGCCTCCGCAGGATCACAGCCGCCGCCGGGAGGAACTTCCGTGCGAGGAAAGCAATGGAGCAAACAGCAGCGGCGCTGCTGACCTTTGCCCCCCGTCTTCCCGGCCCAAAGCAAACAGTGCAAGGAACAGGAGTGAGTTTCCTTGGAAGCACTGCTGGCCTCACTAGGCCTGCCCAGTCGTCATCTTGAAGCAAACGGGGATGGGTGTGTTTTGAGTGCTCACACAAGCTGTGGGAAAATCTAGCCCCATTGTCGGGGAAAGTGAGGCGGCTGCCTCCAACATCAAGTGCCAGGAGGTGGGAGAAGCTGCAATCCCAGACCCTCCAAGTGCCCCAATTTTCCAGGGACAGTTACGGATTGACAGAAGCTTTCAGATTTGATCCTGGAATGTCCCGCTTTTCCTTGGGACGTCCCTATTTTCATAGGAGAAATGTTGGAGGGCATGCAATTCCCATCCAGTGGTACCTCGGGTTACATACGCTTCAGGTTACAGACTCCGCTAGCCCAGAAACATTACCTCAGGTTAAGAACTTTGCTTCAGGATGAGAACAGAAATCGTGCTCCAGCGGTGCAGCAGCAGCAGCAAGAGGCCCCATTAGCTAAAGTGGTGCTTCAGGTTAAGAACAGTTTCAGGTTAAGAACGGATCTCCGGAACGAATTAAGTACTTAACCCGAGGTAACACTGTATATTTAAAGCACACCCACCCGCGCACAAAGAATCCTGGAAACTGTCGTTTACCCCTTGCAGAGCTACAATTCCCAGCACCCTCAACATACTACAGTTCCCAGGATTCTTGGAGGGAAACCATGTGGTTTAAATGCATGGTATGCGCTCGGTCTGTGCCAAAGAAAGATTCAACCGCCGCCAGTCTGATCGGCTTCTGTACACAGAACCCAGTCTTTTATTTACCAGCAGTAACGAAACTTCTTGGCTGGCTTTGGGGCTTTGAGGATTATGGGCACTGTTTGCAGGTACAGTAAGGCCCACAACTTACGATCTGGGGATCACACCTGAAGCCAAAACCGCCTATAGTTATGGGGTTCAGTGGTGGGTGGAATTGCCAAGGTCTTTTTCCTGGATGACCAACCCGTTTTTATTTATTTATTGGCCAAGTTCATAAAGCTGAATGTGCACCAGTTACACGTGTGTTAAGTTATGGGCCTACTTTACAGTGCAAGAGGCCAGGATGTAACCTAATGTGTAGGGTATTTTGTTTGACCTTCTGTCTCTAGTCTAGAGCTTAACAGATTCCTAAAACACGCACTAAGAAAAGTCAGATATTTCAGCCTATAGATAAATGGCACAAATCAGAATAAAATACACTTAAACTTCCATCTTTTGCTTCATTTATTCTGATTATAACAGAAAGGTGATTCGTTTGACCACTGGAAATTCTAAGCACCTCCACGACAATCTGTCTCTGTGGCTATGATGAAGAGCTAGAAATTTACTTTATTTCCCAACATGTAAAAACGGGAGGATTTAAGCCTGTGCAGCTTGCGACGGATAAAACTTTTCCTTTTTTTCTCTTCCCTCTTTCTCTTTGCTTTCAAAATGGCCCTTTTGCTTATCTTTGTTTGTGGGTGCAGTTCCACCCACAAGAAATCCAGGGTAGTTCAGATAATAATAATCATGCTAATAATTTTATTATTTATACCCCGCCCATCTGACTGGGTTGCCCCAGCCACTCTGGGCAGCTTCCAACACACATAAAAAACACAGTAAAACATTCAACATTGAATAACTTCCCTATACAGGGCTGCCTTCAGATGTTGTCGAAAGGTTGTCTAGCTACTTATCTCCCTGAATTCACAATAATTTTATTATGATGAACTATTTTAAACTACCACCTTTTCCAAAGAGTTTAAGGGGGGGAAGAGATGAAAGGAAGGAAGGAAGCGAAGGAGCAGAGAGATCCACTGCTGCTGTTGCTGCTGTTACCTTTTCCTCCTCCTCACTCAGGAATTTTGCCTTAGCAAAAAAGTTCTTCGCAGCAAACAGTGGCCCCTTCAAAACTGCCTGTGGAATGTCTGGTTTTCTTTCTTGCTGCTGTTCTTTTAAAGAGGATTAATCACTAAACTCTGGCTGTTTCTCTTCCCCCGCAGTAAAAACAGGCACCACTCTTGAAGCAAGACCTCAACTAAAAAAACCGCAACAGGCAAAAATAATAATTGCACCCTACAGAACATGGGAGAACTGCCCCCCACTCACCCAGCGAACCAAACACGCCTTAAACCAGCAAGAGAGTGTGCAGAAACATTTCTTCTCTTTTCATTTACCTGCGGGAAGACTGGGGTAAAGTGTCCCCCTTGCCAAACGTCCACCAAGCGAAGACGGGCCTCTGGTCCCGGCCGCGCCAACCCTCTCTTCGACTCCTGGGGAACTAGGTCCTTCTGCCTGCATTCCTTAGCAGGATAATACTGAACAGATGCCAAATGGACAGAGGAGAGATTAGAAAGTGGGCTGGCCAAGCTAAGGGGATGGAGGTGGGATTTGGGGGTGGGGGCAAGCTCCGCAGGGATGCTGAGCTCACCCTTCCCTGTGGGAGAAAGTGCCCGAATGTACGGTAGTTGTCATGGACAAAACCACATCACTTTCTCCCTTTTTTCGAAACACAATAGGGATACATTTAAATTTGCAATTGGGTATAACAGGGACAGTGGTACCTCGGGTTACATTCGCTTCAGGTTACAGAATCGAAAGGCAAATGCGTCTACACAAAATGCTTCATTTTTCAAAATGACGTCGTAACTTCCATCCTAAACACTTGACATAACACCTGTGCTTTTCTTCTAGAAAAAAAAGGTGCCGGTACTGGGGGGGGGGACAACTACATCACATGATCCCAAATAAACACACACACACTTCCTTCATTGAAAGGTTATTGTTTATTTTAAAATCAATTGTCACAAATTGTCTTCCAGCAAGAAACAAAAACAAAAAAATCCTTCAGGTCCAACCACCGTTGTCTAAGATGGTTCCTAAAATGACCGTCAATTTTAAAAATCAAAACCTGTTGAATGTAGGAGGCAAGTGGCAGGGATTGAATCATTTTGTGCTTCCTCAAAACCCTTGCCACAATGTGCTAATTGTCCAATTCCTGAACAAAAGGATTCGAGTATCTCATTTTTGTTGTGCCTGCGAACAATGCTTTGGCTCTCCTGTCAAATCTTTTTCAGGAACAGGAAATGCTTTGGGATCAAGAAGTATATTTAACTTGTTCAGCCAACGTTTATCAGATGCATGTTACATTCTAAGTTGTGATGATTCCCTCTCCCAAGGATTTATAACCACACAACCCCTCTGGTAGCCCAGAGCTCTGTGGACACAAAACAGTAAATAACATGACATGGCTTAAAAAAAGGAGGAGAGGAATTCATCCCTCCCCTCCCCTCCAATGATAAATTATTATTATTATTGGAAATAATAGCTGCTTCTGCATGGGAGGTGCATAGGGAAAGGGCACTTTCTTAATAGCAATACACATTTATCACTTTCTGTGGACTGTAAAAGGTTGCTGGGCTGAGGTTTTGTGTCCTGAAGGTCAGACACCAAGCAGACAGTGCAGGAAAAACGGACAAGCTTACACCATGTGAGATTGGGAGGGAAGACACAGAGAAGACCCTGTCCTTGGCCAGGGGAAAAAGCAGGATGAACATTCCTCCTTCATTGTTCATTAAAATCATAAATACAATTCCCCCCCCCCCCGAGGTAGGTTAGTAAAGTCACTTTTCTACATCTGCTTATGGCTTTGTGCAAGGGACTTAGAAGCGCCATTCATTGCCACAACATGGCAGCAGAGATCAATTGCCTCCAGTAGCCGTCACAAAGCCCACATGTCTCCGGTAACGCTAGACGCAAGGAAACGCCGCTTGCAGGCTACTTGCACAGAACTCTAGTTGGCGCCTATCGCCGGACCTTCGATTGACCACATACCAGCGGCCTAATTCCTGGTAAATTCCTGTATACCAGCCTTCCCCAAGCTGGTGCCCTCCAGGTGTTTTGGACTATAATTACCTCCAGTCACAGCTGCTGATGGGAGTTTCAGTTCAAAACCTCTCCCGGTATGCCCCACGGAGGACCTTAAGGTCCATATATAGCAACACCCTAGAAGTCCCGGGCCCTAAGGAAGTTAGATTAGCCTCAACCAGAGCCAGGGCCTTCTCAACACTGGCTCCGGCCTGGTGGAACGCTCTGTCTCATGAGACCAGGGCCCTGCGGGATCTGATTTCTTTCTGCAGGGCCTGTAAGACAGTTGTTCCATCTGGCCTTTGGCTTAGAATCAGTTTGATTCCCTCCCCCTCTTTCTTTTTCCTTTCTCCTCCTGCGAAGAGGCTGCATCCTAATGTTTTAATGTTGTATTTTCATCTTTTTAAAATTGTATTTTAATCAACTTGTTTTTATTATTGGTTGTTAGCCGCCCTGAGCCTGGTCTTGGCTGGGGAGGGCGGGGTATAAATAAAAAAATATTATTAAAACATCTGGAGGGCACCATATTGGCAAAATCCGGTGTAACCAAAGTCATGGTTAGGTGCCATTTTGGAACAGTGTTCCTCTAAGCCAGACACCCCGTGGCCACTCTGATCAGCCCCAGGCAAATGGTTGGGGAAGATGGCAGCTGTAGGGCGGTCCTACTAGCCCTACTCAAAGTTGACCCCCTTAAGTTAATGGACATGAGCTTTCATTGCTTTCAATGAGTGTGCTCTGTCTTTTGTCGAATGCAATACAAGCAACAACTGGAGGGCCACAGATTCTCCATCCCCTGCCCCCTATGAATTCCCGAATGCTGGATTTAGCAATAAAACAAGATACACCCCCCCAACCACTCCCAGTCCTTCAGTAGATTGTAGACTGGTCCTGGCTGTGCCAGCCACTGATGTATCAAAGTTTTAACAGCATCTTTTCTTCCCATGGGAAGTACTGCCTGGTAGAATGGCAGGCCATGGAATCCAGTATTTTCCCATGACAAGGCAACCTTAAACCCTCATGGCTGGGCCCTTGGCTGGGCATCTATGTGCACTCAGACGTTTGAGTTATTCATGTACCAGCAGCAGTGGCCAAACCAGGAGGGCAGGGTGGAAAAGGCAGCAAGCCTTCCAGCACATGGCGCTTTTCACTGGAAATGGGGAAGAATTAGACCATACTGTTACCAGTGTGAGACTCAGCCACTTATTTGTGCTGTTGAGCAGTGTGACAGATGAGTGGCGCAACATTGGAGCAGGAAGTTCACAAATCTAAGCCACGGAACTTTTTCCAAATGGCAGAAACTAGCCTTCTCAATCACCGTTGGTGCTAAAAGCAGAAGCTCTTTACTGTCAATATTGGCACTAGACATGCAAACTGAATCCTCTTGACTGAACCAGAAAGTTTGCCAATGAAAACTCTCATGCAGATTCTCGTGCAACATCGGAAGTTGTGTGTGCCCTGCATGTGCCTCGTTCTATGATACAAAGAAACACAAGCACACACACCTGCCATCATGTGGACATATGGAAATAAGCTTCAATCAGTGGTAGATGAACCCAGGGATCAATTTTTTTGCAGAGGTAGAACATGAATAGGAAGCACACTGCGGGTAGACAAAGTTGCACACCACAAACAGGGCAATCTCAATAAACTGGTCTTGGCTGTCAAGTGCAATCAACTCTTCCTTTTTCATCTTAGGGAGGAAAACTGATCTCAGGAGGAGCGTTATGTTACCCTCACGCTTGGCTAAAAGTACATGAGCAGATGATGTACTACAACGCTGAACCCACCATTATTCCCATAAATGCTTGTGACCTGCATCACGGGATGGCATCTTGCAATTTTCCGTGTTGCGCATGGGCAGAGACAGGTGGTGCGTGCCACACGGCCTGAGTTTGGGTGACTGATGCCCCTAGGAAAGGATTTCAAACCCACCATCCGGACGTGCTTTTTTAAACAAAAGCAAGTTCGCTCAAAAGAGCTGAAGATTCACAGGACAACTGTAGCAAGACAATCCCTGCAATTCCTTAGCAAGAAGCCAGGATGCTTGAAAACATTACGCTGTGCACTTGGCCACAGAAGCCTCCCTCCCATTCCCCCCCCCCAAATTTTGTCCACACTACATCCTTCAGCGAAAGATATTCTGGATGGGAGTTGAAGATCACTAACCCAAACAATGAGCTCCTTTCGCGTCCAGCGGTGTTTCACATCCCTGACCCGCAACGTTCAAGAGAGGCAACCATGGACATTCTGAATCTTACATTGACAGTTTTATTGCTAGTCGTTTCTCTCCCTCCCTCCCATATCTTCACTGTCTCTAGTCTTGGCACTGCCCAGCAACACCGTCGTCCCCACAGCGATGGGACCTGCCCCTTTGCGTCGCAGCTGCTCCTTCATTCAACCAGGCTCCTCGCTCTGCTGGGAAGGCCTAGCTCTCCGGGAATATGTAGCTGTATTGGCTAAGGATTTGCTCCACAATCTGGTTCTGGAAAACCATGTACATAGTCATGTTCCCTTCTTCGGCCTCTGGCTTCAGCAAAGTTGGCCCAAAGACGATCGCGACGCTCTGCACGGACATGCGGTTCTCCTCCCGGAACTCTATAACCCTGCGGGGAAGAGAGGAAGGATTCCGTGAAAGGGGAAGAGAGACCCTGCAGCTACAGATGTATCTCATCTGGGCATCCTCGCTTGGTGGTGGCATCTTACTGTAGTTCACCTTCATCTGCGCTGTAAAACAGTATCATGGCGCTTTAAAAAGTCATGGATTCGCCCAAAGAATCCTGGGAACTGTATTTTGTTACGGGTTCCGAGAATCATTAGGAGACCCCTGGTCCCTCCAGGGGTGATTTAGCAAATAATCCCTCTTTCTTGGGAATTTTGGGATTTGTAGCTCTATGAGGAGAATTGGAGGTTCTCCTCTCAGCACCCTGAACAAACAACAGTTCCCAGGATTATTTGGGGGTTTAAAGTGGTATAGGTAAAGGTAAAGGGACCCCTGACCATTAGGTCCAGTCGTGGACGACTCTGGGGTTGCGGTGCTCATCTTGCTTTATTGGCCGAGGGAGGCGGCGTACAGCTTCCGGGTCATGTGGCCAGCATGACTAAGCCTCTTCTTGCGAACCAGAGCAGCGCACGGAAACGCCGTTTACCTTCCCACCGGAGCGGTACCTATTTATCTACTTGCACTTTGACGTGCTTTCAAACTGCTAGGTTGGCAGGAGCAGGGACCGAGCAACAGGAGCTCACCCCGTCGCGGGGATTCGAACCGCCAACCTTCTGATCGGCAAGTCCTAGGCTCTGTGGTTTAACCCACAGCGCCACCCGCACCCCTGGTATAAGGTATAAGGGAGCTTTAAATGTCTAGTGCAGATGTGGTCCAAGTGTCTTCTAACACGGGTTAAAAGACACTTGCTACCTTGTGCAAATCCCTCTTCCACCCACCATATGATATCGCCAAATACTAATGCTTTCCAGCAGTGAAAAAACTGAAAGAATCACCCACAGGACGTTGACCATCAATTCAAAGCAGTGCAGCTAGAAGAAAATTCCTCTATAAACCACCCAGGGGAAACGTTTTAAAGGTGGAGTAAAAAAATATAATAAATAAGTTTGGGTTGTCTGGGGGTGTGGACAGGGTGAGAGTCCTGTCTACAGACAGGAGCCTAGGGACAGGAGAGTCAGCATGCTGGCGACAGGTGTGGAGAGGAGATGCAAAAGGCTGGGCGACAGCAAGACAAAGGTTGAATGGGAGGATTGTGGAATGGGAGGATAACCTCAACACAGGGACTTGGATGGCTGGGCTCAGAATTCGCACTCAACACCCTTACACCAGCCCGGAGCACCAGGAGATGCGGCTGCTCACCTGCAGAGATGCTGGAAAAGTACCCTCATGGTATTGTGGTTAGCAGGAGGTAGAGAATTCACCAGCTCCCGTAAGCGGTAGCTGCGCTTCGAGGGCTCTGTGATTTCTGCAATGCCAAACAGAGGAAGAGATCTCACTCAGTGCATCCTTGCCCCCTAATAGAGATACAAATAAACGTAGAAGCCTGCACTGCTGCTATTATAGTCCTCCCTCCAACTTCCCTGCCAACCAATACTTGGGGCCGCTGCAAAAGGGCATAGGAACAGTACCGTATTTTTTGCTCTATAACTCACTTTTTCCCTCCTAAAAAGTAAGGGGAAATGTGTGTGCGTCTTATGGAGCGAATGCAGGCTGCGCAGCTATCCCAGAAGCCAGAATAGGAAGAGGGATCGCTGCTTTCGCTGCGCAGCGATCCCTCTTCCTGTTCTGGCTTCTGAGATTCAGAATATTTTTTTTCTTGTTTTCCTCCTCCAAAGCAAAGTCTCTTACTGATGGCTGCAATGAATCTGTCAAAATGGCTGAAGGGGAACAGCGGCTCCGGCAACTCGCGGAAGAAGAGCTTGAGGGCCCCGGTGATGACGTGGACATCGTCCCAACGGCCGTCGTCGAGATCCAAGCGCTCATCTGCAAAAGCGACGGCAGGGAAACGGGTTAAGCAGTATCCTAGGGCTGCTGAATAAGGAGCCAATATTACTCTTGTCCAGAATGTTTGGGCCTGACCGCAGCACAGCAAGGGCCACTCCTGCACCAATCTAAAATACGAGGATGAATGAGGATCCCCTTCGGTTCGCAACAAAGAGTGGCTGTGGAAGGAGTCCAGCTTCAGTCCCACCACTTGGGCAACCCTGATTGGCTGTGAACATGGGAGAGCAGCAGGTCTAGAAACAACTCTATGATTTTATCATAGAATCATAGAATTGCAGAGCTTTTGACAACTAAGATGTATATATTTTAGGACCCGCCTTATTTCGGGTATTGTAAATTTTTATAAAGTAAAGGTAAAGGTACCCCTGCCCGTACGGGCCAGTCTTGACAGACTCTGGGGTTGTGCGCCCATCTCACTCAAGAGGCCGGGGGCCAGCGCTGTCCGAAGACACTTCCGGGTCACGTGGCCAGCATGACAAGCTGCATCTGGCGAGCCAGAGCCGCACAGGGAAACGCCGTTTACCTTCCCGCTAGTAAGCGGTCCCTATTTATCTACTTGCACCCAGGGGTGCTTTCGAACTGCTAGGTTGGCCGGCGCTGGGACCGAGCAGCGGGAGCGCACCCCGCCACGGGGATTCGAACCGCCGACCTTTCGATCGGCAAGCCCTAGGCGCTGAGGCTTTTACCCACAGCGCCACCCGCGTCCCATAAATTGTTATAAGCTGTTTTAAACCCTGGGGCCTTAGGATAAAAGGACGACAACAACAACAACAACAACAGTTACTCGTTAATTTTTTCTATCACAGTATGATTGTGTGTCGGGATCTTGCTTTTATTATGAATTTTGTGCTTTCATGCTGTGAACCGCCCTCAGATCTTTGCATGTAGAGCAGTATACAAATGTAATTAATAAGGTAAAAGGTAAAGGAGCCCTAGACGGTTAAGTCCAGTCAAAGGCAACTATGGGGTTGCGGTGCTCATCTCGCTTTCGGGCTGAGGGAGCCGGCGTTTGTCCACAGACAGCTTTCTGGGTCATGTGGCCAGCAGGACTAAATCGCTTCTGGCGCAACGGAACACCGTGATGGAAACCAGAGTGCACGGAAACGCCGTTTGCCTTCCCGCCACAGTGGTACCTATTGATCTACTTGCACTGGCATGCTAGGTTGACAGGAGCTGGAAGAGAGCAATGGGAGCTTAACCCATTGCAGGGATTTGAACCACCGACCTTCTAATTGGCAAGCCCAAGAGGCTCAGTGGTTTAGAATAACAATACTAATAATCCACATAAATATTCAACCAAGACCCTTTCTAGAGCGCGCACGCTCTCTCTCTCGCTCTCTCTCTCTCTCTCTCCACACACACACACACACACACACACACACAATGCTAGAGATTGAACTTAGCACCTTCTGCACACAAGGGGAACGTGGTACTGCTAAGCTTTGTCCCCTGCCAAGCTGAATCTATGGAGTCCCTTACCATGGTCCACCTTGTAGCGCAGTTTCTGTATCGTCGCCAGATTCCCACTTATCCGGTAGAGTCCATCGATATCCAAACCTGTGGGAGGAGAAATTACGGCTCTTATACTAAAGGCCCACGAGACCAAAAGAATTGCCACGAACAATAAGTCTGAGCCTGAGAAGGTATAATGCAAATTACGGGTATTTGCATGCATCTCTCTTCCTTTGCACAATACATTTTGCTTCAGTGGGAAGCGTCAAGGAGTTAAGCACCTCTGGAAATCCTGCTGCTCAGCTCCTTTCCAAGATGTCACCGGGCCCACATGTTTTGACACTTATCTTGACTGCCACAAGGATTAGGTTAGTGGTGGCTTGTGTCCTTTTTGGACTGGTGGGGAGAATAGAAGGGAGCACAAACAGTAGGTGGAGCTGCAGGCAATGATATGCAGAGTGAACTCTGTTCAAGTCCTGTCGGCCATCTAAATCTCTGCTGAGTTCCTCAAGGGCAGGGGTCCCCAAAATAAGGCCTGTGGGACGGATAAGGCTCGAGGGACTTGTTTATCTGGCCCGCTGCAACTCCCACCACCTGCTGCCGCTACCCACTCTTACCTGCACTGTGCGGCTGCGCACTTCCATGTCGGAGGAGCACTGGAAATAGCTTGTGCGCATGTGCAAGCGTTTTTGCGCATGTGCAAGAGTTATTTCCGGTGCACATCCGGGTCGGAGGCCCGTGCACATGCGCACAAGCTATTCCTGGTGCTCCTTTGACCCAGAAGTGCGCCGGAAATAGCATGTGCGCACGCATATGGGCACGCACTTCCCCGCCCTCTGACCTGCCGCACGATCGATGCTGGCGACACTGGCCCGAGGCGCAGTAAGTTTGCTGACCCCTGCTCAAGGGCAACACTGAGACTAAGGTGGAGGAAGCCAATAAGTAATGTTACCATCAGTCCAGAGGGGGAAGGAAGAAGGGCAGGCAGTTGGGGGTGGCCGAAGGCAGACTAAGATTGGTGGCACCATGCCCCATGGGCCTCAACAGAGCAGCCTTCACTGGATTAGTAGGAAGAAGAGGAAGAGGAAGAGGAAGAAGAAGAGGAAGAAGAAGAAGAAGAAACTCTCAAGACTTCCCACGACTCAGCAAAACCAGATAATATGAATGGCACAAAACAGAAGAAGTTTTGCAAGTTTTGCTGAAGTTGTACAATGCGTGCAAGCCACAAAACTGGGGGTAGTGGGCGCATAATTTCAATTTATTTGGGGGCATAGAACTGTGTTTTTGAATTATGGTGCTGGAGAAGACTCTTGAGAGTCCCATGGACTGCAAGAAGATCAAACGCATCCATTCTGAAGGAAATCAGCCCTGAGTGCTCACTGGAAGGACAGATCGTGAAGTTGAGGCTCCAGTACTTTGGCCACCTCATGAGAAGAGAAGACTCCCTGGAGAAGACACTGATGCTGGGAAAGATGGAGGGCACAAGGAGAAGGGGGCGACAGAGGACGAGATGGTTGGATAGTGTTTTCGAGGTTACCAGCATGAGTCTGACCAAACTGCGGGAAGTAGTGGAGGACAGAGGTGCCTGGCGTGCTCTGGTCCATGGGGTCACGAAGAGTCGGACACGACTAAACGACTAAACAACAACAATAGAACTGTGTACCTCGCTTCTCCACAGTGCAGATGCACTGCCTCACAAACTGAGGCACAGTACTCTTCTCACGGTCGCACAAAACTTGCAGAGGGCATCCAAACACCTGATCTGGATTAAAGAAGCAAACAACCCCGCGAGAAATCAGGTTAGAAACACGATCCAAAATATCCTTTCTATTTATATCTCATTGCCATCCTTGAAACTTGTGGCAAAAGTAAGACAGCTATAAACAAATCAAAGCCTTCTTAACTTACCACGCAGGCTGGGGACACACTATACATTAATGGCACATGGTTTCCCCCAAAGAATGCTGGAAACTGTAGCTCTGTGAAGGGCAAACTACAGTTCCCAGGACTCTCTGAGGGAAGCAGTGTGTTTCAAATGTGTTCTAAATGTATGGCATGTACACTACCTCAGTTGAACAGCTGCAATACAAAGGCTGAAAGCTCTGTAAATTGGCCTTGGCTGATCAGCGTAGTCACAAAGCCAAATATTTTTTTTAATGGACTCTTAGATCTTCCAGGAATATACCTTTGATGTAGCCTCGTTCCCGCAGGGACTGAAGGGTTGGCCGCCTCTGCAGAAACCTCAGGAGTTTGTTGCGAACTTTGCTGGAATCGCTGTCCGAGTTGAGAGAGGTGGATGAATGCCAGGAGGCTGCCAGGGGGGAGAATTTGGCATTTTAGTACAGGAGGAGATTTTCTGCTGAAGGCTGAGCCTGCCCACATGCTTCAGAGAAGAGGTACAAGAGGAAATGCAAGCTTCTCTTCCAAGACAGTTCCAAGGGCCTGTTCACACATGGCAGAGCCGTAGCTAGGTGGATCTTGCGCCCCTGGCAGAACCGTCCAGATTGCGCCCGCCTAAAGGTAAAGGGACCCCTGACCATTAGGTCCAGTCGTAGCCGACTCTGGGGTTGCGGCGCTCATCTCGCTTTATTGGCCGAGGGAGCCGGCGTACAGCTTCCGGGTCATGTTGCCAGCATGACTAAGCCACTTCTGGCAAACCCAAGCAGCGCATGGAAATGCTGTTTACTTTCCTGCCGGAGCGGTACCTATTTACAGTAGTGCCTCGCAAGACGAAATTAATTCGTTCCACGAGTTTTGTCGTCTTGCGATTTTTTTCGTCTTGCGAAGCACGGTGTCGGGAAAGTTTTGGAAAAGCTTCAAAAATCACCAAAGTCTTTAAAAACCTCAAAAAAGGCTACCACACCGCGTTCTATGAGTTGCTCCTCGAAGTCAAGTCGCAAGTGTATTAACGGTGTTAAGAAAAAGGAAACAAACTTGCAAGACGTTTCCGTCTTGCGAAGCAAGCCCATACGGAAAATCGTCTTGCGAAGCAGCTCAAAAAACAAAAAACCCTTTCGTCTAGCGAGTTTTTTGTCTTGCGAGGCATTCGTCTTGCGAGGTACCACTGTATCTACTTGCACTTTGACGTGCTTTCGAACTGCTAGGTTGGCAGGAGCTGGGACCGAGCAACGGGAGCTCACCCCGTCATGGGGATTTGAACCGCCGACCTTCTGATCGGCTCTGTGGTTTAACCCACAGCGCCACCCGCATCCCTAGTCACCAACAAATCAGCTCTTCTTTTTGCCTCTCCTCCAACCCCCCCCCCATTCAATTCACCCTCTATTTAAAACCTTTACTTATGAGGCAATAATCAATATTTTTATTTATGGACATATTTTTAAGCTGGTTTTGCACGCGCTCCTCACCTGTGCCCCTGGAGGGGGCCCACCTCACCACCCCCTAGCAGCAGCCCTGCACACATGACCCTCAACGTGCTATTTGCTTTGTCCAGAATATTTGAGGCAGGTGTGTGATCTCTGTTATCTAGAATGAATATCCAGAATGTGGCTCAGGTGAGGAGCAAGCAAAGGGACAGTGTGGTGACAGGGACCCCAGGCTGAAAGGTCAATCCTAACAGGCACAAGACAAACTTCCAAGTACAGTGGTACCTCGGGTTAAGAACTTAATTTGTTCTGGAGGTCCGTTCTTAACCTTAAACTGTTCTTAACCTGAGGTACCACTTTAGCTAATGGGGCCTCCTGCTGCCACCGCGCTGCCGCCAGAGCACGATTTCTGTTCTCATCCTGAAGCAAAGTTCTTAACCCGAGGTACTATTTCTGGGTTAGTGGAGTCTGTAACCTGAAGCATCTGTAACCCGAGGTACCACTGTAACAGACGTGCAAAAACAAGCTCCTGCACCACTGGGGTGTATATGGATGGATTTTTACTTGTCGGAAGGATAAAAAGGAGGGGAGGGGAAAATAATGTATAATGCCTGAGCTGCTTTTTTTTGGGGGGGGTGTGATAGCAATGTAAATTAATAATAATAATAATAATAATAATACTGCAATAGACAAATATAAACTGTTTGAACTATTTGTGAAGGAAAATTCGTTGAAAAAATCCATTTCTCTGTTTGAAACCAAAAATTTGCACTGAGTATTAACACTGACCTGGGCTTTTCTTCTCGCCCTCTTTCTCTCTGTTGCTTCCTAGCTGATCCTTTGATCTCAAATCCGATGAATTCTCCTCGTTGTCTTCCGGAGGGAAATCTGTAGGCTGAAAGAAATACAAGGGTCACCTTTGTCGGTACCTCTGAAGAGAACACGACATTTTACGGTGTGCTTGAAGCTGCCTGAACCCCCATTTCATTTGCATTGTCCACACCGCTCTCAACGCTTGTCCCCTGTAAAATATGGGGGTTGCCCGAAATGGGGATCATCCAGTAAACCGGGGGGAAATTGGGCTCCAAAACAATCCAATCAGGGTCACAGACAACTGGTTCAGTGTTTTGTGGTAGGTGGATCCATCGCCACTTTCTGCAACTCTCCGTTCCACAGCTACTACAGTGGTACCTTGGGTTAAGTACTTAATTCGTTCCGGAGGTCCGTTCTTAACCTGAAACTGTTCTTAACCTGAAGCACCACTTTAGCTAATGGGGCCACCTGCTGCCGCCGCGCCGCCGGAGCAAGATTTCTGTTCTTATCCTGAAGCAAAGTTCTTAACCTGAGTAATATTTCTGGGTTAGCGGAGACTGTAACCTGAAGCGTATGTAACCTGAAGCGTATGTAACCCAAGGTACCACTGCACTTCCTGAATGCCTTCATTTCTTCTTCAGCAATGCTCCTGACTATTTCCTGCACATCCCTAAACTATACAGTTCCTCCTTTGATTCCTCACATTTGCACAAAACCAGAAAACTGCAGAGGCAGCCAGTTCCACCCAACATTGGGGGGCCCCCATCAACACGTGTTGCAAGGCCCGCCACTGCTGAGAGGCCCACCGCCATTGCAAGGCCTGACAAGGCCTGTCGCCACAAGATTTGGCCCCTCAATATATACTGTATATATTTTTGCGGGGCTCAGACTTGTCCAAACAGACTTTTTTTTTGGGTGGGGGGACTAAAGACACTGCCATCCTATAGAGTCTATGCAAGCAAACCATGTTAAATACAGTGGTACCTCAGGTTAAGAACTTAATTCATTCCAGAGGTCTGTTCTTAACCTGAAACTGTTCTTAACCTGAGGTACCACGATTTCTGTTCTCATCCTGAAGCAAAGTTCTTAACCCGAGGTACTATTTCTGGGTTAGCGGAGTCTGTAACCTGAAGTGTCTTTAACCTGAAGCATCTGTAACCCGAGGTGCCACTGTACAGTGGTACCTCCGGTTGTGAATGGGATCTGTTCCGGAGCTCCGGTCAGATCCCGAGGAATTCGCAACCGGAGGTGTTGCTTCTGTGCATGTATGTGGCGCGATTTAGCGCTTCTACACGTGGTGCGATTTAGCACTTTTGCACATGCAGCGAAACCTGGAAAAATACTTCCGGGTTTGCTGCGTTCACATCCTGAAAGATATGCAACCAGAGTGTGCTTATCCAGAGGTACCACTGTAATCCATGTGGTTTGCTTGTGCAGTTTTCTCATTTTGTGCAAATCTGAGGGAACAAAATGAGGGAGATGTACCTGATATTGCACAGCTATCTGTGCACAGCTTCTGCTGGTACTTAAGCAGTACAGTGGTACTTCGGGTTAAGTACAGTGGTACCTTGGATTACATACGCTTCAGGTTACATATGCTTCAGGTTACAGACTCCGCTAACCCAGAATAGTGCTTCAGGTTAAGAACTTTACTTCAGGATAAGAACAGAAATCGTGCTCTGGCGGCGCGGCAGCAGCAGGAGGCCCCATTAGCTAAAGTGGTGCTTCAGGTTAAGAACAGCTTCAGGTTAAGTACGGACCTTCGGAACGAATTAAGTACTTAACCCAAGGTACCACTGTACTTAATTCATTTCGGAGGTCCGTTCTTAACCTGAAAGCTGTTCTTAACCTGAAGCACCACTTTAGCTAATGGGGCCTCCCGCTGCTGCTGCGCCGCTGCCAGCACGATTTCTGTTCTCATCCTGAAGCAAAGTTCTTAACCCGAGGTACTATTTCTGGGTTAGCGGAGTCTGTAACCTGAAGCGTATGAAACCTGAAGCGTATGTAACCCGAGGTACCACTGTATAATAGAACACCTACTGGCATGAATGGAAAAGACCAAAGTTGCTCCTCATATACAAATTCAAATAGGTGCAAGTGTGGACCACTCTGGTCTAATTCAAATGGGGGTGGAAAGTGGACAAAGAGCTTGACAATGCTCAAATGTGGACAACTCCTAAGTGTAACTGGGCGTGTGAAGGTCTTCTCAAGGATGCCATTTTCCTCCCATTATTCTGGCTAGCAGAATAAAATATCTCCTATGAATTGGCTGCCAATTGATGGAAGCTTCCTGACTGAATTCTTGTGAAAACGAAAAAATAAAGAAATGGTAAAGATCTTCAAATAACACAGGAAATGCAAACTAAGGGTGCTCAGGGATTTGATTAGGTCCACATTCCTAAATGAACCAATCTAATTGCCCTTACTGGATAAACACGTAGTTAGCAACATCGTTATTATATTGACACACGTTTTATGTTTAAAACGTGTACCCAACATGCAAATTTTTTAGGCTGCTTTTAAAAAATAAAATTGCAGGATGATGCAGAAACGGGAAGGAAATGACATGAATAAACAAACCACAAGCGGACTGAGCTGTCCTTCCTCAATGCACAAACTAGTTTAAAAAAAAATTACACAGTATTTTTAATAACACATAGAAGCCGATCAAGACAGAAAATCAAATGGCCAAAAAAGAAAACAAAATACGTAATAAACTAATTATTTAATGCCACTTAATTAGCAACATGGGGTGGAAATTTTCTACAATGGAAATTTTCCAGTGTGCGTCCTCTCTCTTTAAATGTAGTTTTATTGAAGACTATTCAATGAAATTTTCCAGTGTTGCATTTGTTTCCATTTTCCAAATATGTGTTTCACAAAATTAATTAGCAATACAACACATGAATACAATACCAACGAAACTGGGCAATTTCAAAGTTGTAAATCAAGCCTAAGAAAATAAAATGTAAGAGAATTGTGTGCCACTGAGATGTCATGTCTTAAGTATTCACAAAAATAAGAATAATTTCCAAGTAAAGCTTTGAAGTTGCTTGAATGGAACACTCAAACACCACATTAATGCTGCAACCTTTAACACACTTGAATTTAAGTAAGATCTGAGTGAGCATGCTTAGGTTTGCAACGTGCTTAATTTGAACTTCATTAGGAAAGAAGATTCAAAATATTGGGCCATTGGAATAACTTCTGAGATTTTCATACAGCATGAAATTCTAACATGGCCATTAAAAAACTAAACTGAACAGAAAAGTCAAATAAACATACTAAGTCAGATCCAAATGGCATTGGGGGGTCAGGAATCCATGTAATTTCTTGATTTAATTGTTTCCAGGGGAAAAACTGCAACACAGCCTTTCATATTACACACAATCAGATGCCTGAGGCAGTGCACCTCTTTGTCACATTCAGACCAACCTTGTTTACACTTGATGCACAGAACTGGGGGCGGGGGGCGGTTTACAACATTTGTTTTCCCCCTTGATGAACATAAGGCCTACCTCTCCCCCCAGGGTCTATGCTTCCCTCTTCCTGGAAGTCCTTGCTAACCCCCTAAGCTATGTCTGCCATAAAAACACCTGACAGGAACCCAAATGAGGTTTCTTATGTTCAGGGCTGGCCCAAGACATTTTGGCACCTGAGGCAGACCACAAAATGGCACCCCACTCCTTGACAGGAGAGAAGGGGTGACGGAAGGAAAAAGAGGGGTGGGAAGAAAGATTGACATTGGGATCTGCTGTCCCTGTGGATTCTTCCGCCTGAGGCAGTCGCCTCACCTTGCCACATGGGTGGGCCGGCCCTGCCTGTGATAAAAACACGGGACAAGCCCCACTCTCACCAGTTTACTGATGCTGTCAGCAATTGCCTTCTGCCAGGTGCTGATGATGCACTCTGAATCATGCCGGATCAGGTACTCGGATCCTTCCCGTGTCTTCAGCTGGAACAGAGGAACCATCCGATTGTGACATCCAGACAGAAGATGCTCACCACAACCCCAAGAACTCAGCAAAATGCCCCCCAGATTCAGTGCAATTCTCATTGGTTTCTCACTGAGGACATTCCTGTACAGTACTTCAAAATTCTAAAAGGTGAACGGTGCCAGACCTCAGAGCCAAACCGCAAAGCTTGCCCTTTAGCCCAGCAACTCTACTATATAACGCATAAATTGGAGAAAGGTGGGGTTAAGGGACTACTAAAACCCTTTTGACATCACAGGGGGAGACATAACATATTTTATGTAAAATATGTTAAAAAATAAATGGGCAAACTTGCGGGGTCTGTGGGGAATTAACTTTTTATTTTTTTAAAATTGTTTTAAATAACAAACAAAGGGGAATCTTAGGGGTCATAAAACAAGATTTGGGGGTGCTGGATATGGGCCATGGGCTATTGGGTTAACCACCCCTTCTGTAGAAGATACTAGCTGCGGGAATAAGACATTGCTGGACAGCACTGTGCTCATACAGAACCTCTTCCAGCTAATCACAAAAGGTAAAGGTAAAGGTAAAGGGACCCCTGACCATTAGGTCCGGTCGTGGCCGACTCTGGGGTTGCGGCGCTCATCTCGCTTTATTGGCCGACGGAGCCAGTGCACAGCTTCCGGGTCATGTGGGCAGCATGACTAAGCCGCTTCTGGTGAACCAGAGCAGCGCACGGAAACGCCGTTTACCTTTCCACCGGAGTGGTACCTATTTATCTGCTTGACTTTGACGTGCTTTTGAACTGCTAGGTTGGCAGGAGCAGGGACTGAGCAACGGTAGCTCACCCCGTCGCGGGGATTCAAACCGCCAACCTTCTGATCGGCAAGTCCTAGGCTCTGTGGTTTAACCCACAGCGCCACCATCAAACGTGGAAATGAAGTTACCGAAGCTTTATATAGTGTGAGATTTACTTTCTGCACCTAGGATTTGCTGCTAGTTTCCTTCATGTTCCAACAGGGTCACTGGAAACGCACGGGACACATCTTACAGAGGAGCAGTGTCAGGCTCATCATATGCCTGGCAGCTCCAGAGGCAGGCTTTCACAGGGAAAAGGACTCGGCTAGGTTTCCCCACCACTTGAAACCAGGTTGCCATGTACAAATATGGACTCCCGATACTAATCTTTTGTAACCGATGCAGCGCAAGACACATTGCACGGCAACCATAACTTTCATTTTAAAGAAGTGGCCCGTATTTAGGAAATGACAAGATTCACTTTTAATAAGTCTAGTCTTCATAGAGGAATATGCTTGGAAGATGGAGTGTTGTGGTTTTGTGGCCAAAACTCATTTGTACCATCAGCATTAAGACTGCCTTAAAAGTCTGTCTGTTTTTAAAAATGTGTGTTCCCTTTTTTCCAGTGAAGATAAGTTAGTTGAATTGATATTTGCAGGAATAGCCACATTCAGGCATGTGTAACAGACAGATTGCCTGGTGAGGAGCAGCACAGGCCTGTGTTGCTTCCTCCTCCATGCGTTTTGCCATCATCTGTTGCTACGGAAACAGAAGCAGAGATGGGGACCACCATCCTTTACCTCCAAGACGTTCTTTTTGCTCGACTTGTCTTTTGCAGCCCAAGAAAGTGTTGCTCCACTAAGATCCACAGTGTGCTCAGGGCTACTCAACACGGAGGGATGTTTCTGAGGGTGAAGGTAGGAAACAGAAGCAGCATGGAAGTCCACATTTTATGACTGCTCGCAACTACAGAGAAAACAAAAATCCCACCCACTTACCCATCAAATTATACCCTGCAGAGAAATTATGGGGTTTTCCAGACACCCTTTTTATTGTGCATTTACGATGGTTTGTGCTCATGATGCTATTGGGGCAGTCACACAGCTGAATTTCCAACCAGTGCATATTGTGTAACTTCCTTCTGAAATCCTGCAACTTTTTATATACCACAAAGATTCGGCAGGAGGAGATGCCCTGCTTTTGTTGTGCTATAGTCCCTCTGGACAACAATAACATGCAAGCATTGGCTTGGATAAGTACCACAGAACAAACTAGAGCAGCCTGGAGGGGTTCCAAAAGATCACTGGCTCTCAGTACGTTTCCAAGCACAATGCAAAGTGTTTGTGTTGACCTTTAAAACTCTAAACGTCTTCGGCCCTGTATATCTGAAGGAGTGTCTCCACCCCCATTGTTAAGCTGGACTCTGGGCTCCAGCTCCAAGAACCTTCTGGCGGTT